GATATGTTTAATAATTATCGCAATGTCAGTGCTAATTAATGTTAACCTGTCTACGGTGTTTCACAGTGTATGGCAGCATTATTTGTGAATATATGGCTTGGTTGAAAATGGTGGCGTTTAAAAAAAAAAAAAAAATCCAATTCATCCATTTTCTAAACAGCTTATTCTCATTAGGGTTGCGAGTGTGCTGGGGCCCTATGCCAGCCAACTTTGGGCGAGAGGTTAAGACGTTTAATGATATTACGGATCAAGATATCAGGACTGGCGTCGACTTGTAAGAAGCCAGGGGGTATGCGGGAGAGGAGTCAGGCGGCAAAGCACTTAACCCATTTGTTGTGCTACAGCGCTCATGTGTAACAGAAAGGGAGGGCGGCGGTAAATGGGACTAAAGCGACTCGCCCGAGTGGGAGAACTGTGTCCCAAGTGCAGACATGTCCATGGATGCATACTGTTCGTCACGATTACCTTTATTGACCAACCAAAGCCAAATTTTGCATGTGTGATGTAATGTTTTGGTCTGGTTCATTCTTGACTCGTGGCGAAACATCACACCACATACTGTAAGGAGTGGCTGTCTTCAGGCTCCATTTCTAACCTTTTGGCAGCTGTTTTTATGTTGCATAACATGGCTGTCAAACACGCAGTTAACATAGTGCCGGCATCATTTCTTTTACTTTTCTGCTCCCACTTTATTTTATACACAGCAGGTTGCCAAAAGCCTTCTTCTCAATGTCACTCAGTGAACTCTGGCATTTGTTGACTTAATGGATGTTCTTTTGGAAAATTTAATTGAAAAAATAGTTCTAGTTTTATTTATTTTTTTTCAAATTAGTTCACAAGTTGACCCGAGCTCAAGTTAAGTATCAAGATAGCTACCTAGCATGGTAGCGTTACTTTTTAATGACAAGCTACAGCTTAATTTTTTTTCATTTTCAGAATTTGCTAGTTAATTCGCTTTTTAGATTTTCAAGTTAGCTATTTTGCTTAAGAACTCTGGGGAAAAAAACAATTAAAAAGGCATTTCAAGATGATGTTTTGCTAGTTAATTAACTTTTTAGCTTTTCAAGTTAGCTATTTTGCTTAAAAATTCTTTGGAAAAAAAAACAAATTAAAAAGGCATTTCAAGATGATGTTTTTGTAGGAGAAATTATTTATCAAGTGACTCAAATAACCCCAAGCTAGCTGTTTAGCTAGCATGATGGCATTACTCTTTTTCCTGGCAAGCTATGTCCTCACTATTTTTCCCAACATGGTCCAAAGAACAGGCAGTGCAGGAAAGTGTAAAACGTTGAGAAATTCAAATCATTTCAATAAGCGATAAAGCATTCACAGAATTAAAGGGTAAATTGATTCTCATTTTCATTTATTCAAATATTTATTGCAGTAAAACGGGGAAACACGGCAACGTTTTAACTCCATCAATCGCATAGAAACAACAACACACAAAAAAAAGAAAAATCAACAACACAACAAGAAAGGAATGTTTTCTTCTAAATTTAGCCAAAACTTGCTGCGGCGGAAAAGCAAAACAACTCCTCTTCACGCCGCAAAATTACAACGTGCAAATTCTTAAACGTACGCGCCTTTAAATAAACACTGGACCGTGACTTAAAAAAAAAATGCTTGCTAACCTATTGTCTTTCTGTTTGTCTGTCTGGCTTGACTCAGCCGCATTCTCCGCGGCGTGACACTGATTACTGGCTTTGGAGCTGCGCTAAAGTGCCGTCTGGTCCCTTGGCTAACCTCGCACCGGGTGTGTTGTTGATCCCGTGTGTGTGTTTTTGCGGTACGCCCTTGTTAGTGCATGTCCGTGTTTGTTTGCTACACGGTGAAAGTATGCGACGCTTTTGCTGGCGTCGCCACGCTTTGCTCGTGTCCTCGCAGGTCAGAGGGGGTTCTGTAATTTTGGATTGGTAAACAGGCCGTTGTTATTCACTCCTTGTTTGGTTTTTGGAGGTTCACCAATTAAAAAAATAAAACATCAGGAATTCTGTAGTGGCTTTACGGTACTCGGGACTGATTCAAGAATGCAAACGCATGCGGGATGGCTTTTAGCAGCATCGACATTTTTTTTTTTTTTCGAAGCTCAATAAACATTGTTATTAAGAGCTTCTTCATTGTCCTTCTTCTTCCGTGTGCTTCACACTTGGGTCAGGTGTGCTGTGTTTTCCGAGTCGGAGGAGAGAGGAATCTGGGCCAGTGTCCAAGCTGACTATCATCAGTATGTTGCCAGATCCCAGGACAAGAAGCAACACATCCACTCCATTTGTTCTCTGGCTCCTCTCTGATCACTGGAGCATTCTTGTTGCGCTCGTTCTTCGACTTTCCGTCATTTATATTCTTCCTTTAAGTGTATAATGTACTATTTTTGAGGTGTTAGTACAGGGGTGGACAAATCGCCTGGTCTTTCATCTGTCTGACCACAAACGTCATCAAGTCCTGGAATATTTATGACATTCATCTAGCCTTTTTGAGACACAAATTAGCCTGTATATAGTTGTTCTTATTTTTTAAACTTATTTACCACATTCATTTGTGTGTTGATTTCTTCAAAATAATAAAATGAAAAATGTTGGTATTTTAAATCTCCATTTACCGTATTTTTCGGACTATAAATTCTGGAATATAAGTCGCACCAGTCAAAAAAATGCATCATGATTAAGAAAAATACATATACTGTATAATTAGTTCCAGAGTATAGGTCACATTTTTGCTAGGAAATTTATTTTACAAAAACCAAGACCAAGAACAGGAGAGCCGGCCGGGATTGGCCCTCAAAATCCCCCATAGTCTAATCATGGTTGCGCACTGGTTCTCTCCCACCATTCGAAAATTCAGATCATTGCTCAAATCTGCCGTTAGGTTATTAGTTTATGTCCCAAAAAAGGAGTGCATCGAGTGTTCGATAAAATGGAAGCAGTTCAAGCATGAGCTGCTGATTGCAATGTGAATTAGGCTTATTAGGTGTTTGGAAATTAATGGGAGAGGAGCGCACTTTGCCTCTCCACACAAAAACACTCGTAGAGTCGAGTTAGGGCATCAGAGTGAATTTCCGAATGCACCTTGTGTTGACGGCAGTGAACAAGTTCCGGTTGAATTTGAAACTTCCACCTGCAACTACGGAAAAGTTGTCCTTTGTAGTTGAAAATGGCTGAACTAGAATCCCACCTCACACTGTGGACAAAAGTCGAATCCTGGTCCGTTATTACGCCTTTCGCCGCTGTAAATAGTAAAGCTTTATCACGACCGTATGCTAGTGACGGCGGCTAACTTAGTTTACACAGTCGTTGCCATGACGACTACATCTTCATATTCTTGTATTTTTTTTCCCTGAATATACTGCATCCCCCCCTTACAAAATCGTGCTAAATTCTCATAAGAAAAATCTAATTGTGCATCACCACCCACAGATACATAGAAAATGTTCTACAAAGACATCAAACCTCGAAACCACTGCACTTTTGTCCACGTGTGTGATATTACCGTAGCGAACGGTTGTTTACATAATCTGATTTCTTCTCTTGTGGTTATAGTTGCGTGTGTGTGTGTGTGTGTGTGTGTGTGTGTGTGTGTGTGTGTGTGTGTGTGTGTGTGTGTGTGTGTGTGTGTGAACGTCGCATCTGTGTGCCGTTCCAAACGACTGCACTGTACACTACAATGTCTGGCACTGTGTGTTGGCCAGAAAACAAGGAATAAGGGTTGGGTGAGGGAGAGAGGAAGCAAGGCCTCCCACACAGGCAGATAGCAGACTTAAGAAGCTCCATTAGCTCCTCAAAGCCCAGCTGCCGCCTTCAGATGGATGCCTGCCCTGGGCCGTTTGATGTCCACTGGCGCATAGCCTCACATCTCGCCTGCTTGTCTCCCAAATGTTGCCCGTCCGTCACTGGGCCTCAACTGTTGCATCAAACTGGGCCGCTGAGTGAACAATATGAAAAATATATAAAGCACGCGTCGACTGGATGCAGTGCGGCGAGAGAAAGGCGAGGAAATGAAAACAATAGACTTTGAAGTGAATCCAATTTCATTGAGCAAATATTAGAATTTAAGATGTAAATGCAGGACGGTTCTTCGAATATTCTTTAGCCTGATGGATCACTGCTGATCTGTTGTGCAGGTAACCAAAATATTTCAGTACATGATGTGGATCCTTCTTTTCACTTGACAAGGCCGAGCTGCAAGCTGCTCGTTTTCCTTCACCAGCATCAATCAAAAAAGGGATTTTTGACACAACTCATTGGATCGACCGATACTCAAGAATCTCCCGCTGCTGCAAAATGGGGACGAGTAACGGACAATTTTATGTAGCGTTGTTGTCAGGCAGAATCTTCTCAATCTGGAAACGACCTCCCATGAGAAACCGGTTCACTGTAATTCTCTCCATCCATCCATTTTCGAATCTGCTTACAAGGGTCGTGAGCGAACTGGAGCCTATCCGAGCTCTCTTCGGGTCGTAGGCGGGGTACACCCCGAACTGGTTGCCAACCAATCGCAGGGCACACATAGTCGAACAGCCATTCGCGCTTACAATCACGCCTCGGAGTGTTCCATTCACCTGCCATGCATGTTTTGGGAATGTGGGAGGAAAGCGGAGTACCCGGAGAAAACCCACGCAGCTATAAGGAGAACATGCAAGCTTCACACAGGAAGGCCGGAGCTGGAATCGAACCCTGCACCTCTGCACTGTGAGGCGGACGTGCTAATCAGTCGCCCATCGCGTCCGTAATTGTCTCCATATTTTTAAATTCAGTATTTGGTGACACATGCTTCTTTTTCCGTCCCTAGAACCTGTCTACATCCGTTGGGAATGGGCCAGCATCTAGCCAGAGAGCATCTCTCCACGCGGTGGTGCGGCTGGCGTCGCCCAAGAGTGAGGGGGGCCACGGCCAACTCCTAAAGGCGGCCTAAGCCTGCCCCCTCTTCCTCTCTTTCTCTTCTCTCTCTCTCTTCTTCTTTCTCCGTTTCCCTCTCCCTCCATCCTCACGGTGACTTTTGAACTTGCCATGCCCTTCCGGCTGAAGCTGCGGCGCACGCGGCGCTACAACGTCCTGAGCAAGAACTATTTTGTGACGCGCATTCGGCTGCTGGACAACAACGTGATCGAATGTACTCTGTCGGTGGAGAGCACGGGGCAGGAATGTCTGGAAGCCGTGGCGCAGCGGCTGGAGCTACGTGAGGTGAGGCCTTCTCTCCTCTTTCATCTCGATCGGCGTCACAACGATTGTATGACTGTCCGTGTTTTATGTTCTGTGTTCTCGTATATTAATTTGTTATTTTATGTTAACTGTTCCGTAAAGCGCTTTGTTACAGCTGCGCTATAGAAATAAGAATGTATTGTTAAAAAAAAAAATGTATCCCACATTTGCACCTTGGCCTTATCCCCGTTGATCTTTGTTTACCAGGCTCGGGTGCACTTGAAGGTGATTTTTTTTTTTTTTTTTTTTTTTAATTTGTTATGCCAACCTGCATTCTTGCAGCCGTGGCAGCTTTTTGATTGCATTTTACGAGCGTGGAACAGCGCATGCACACAAAGCAGGTGTGTGGAACCGCCTTTCTGAGGTGTTGACACATACACACACGCGCACACTAAATCAATGTCCTGCATGCTTATTCACGTCAAAAGGACGGTGAAGTCACACTGCGGGGTTTTTACGACCTAACACGGCGCACAGCTGTCCTCGAGGGAAAAAAGGCCGGCGTGCTGTTTATGACAGGGAAAGTTTTGGACTGAATGATAAAAACGACGTCTGTTTGTTTGCCTAAATCAAATTTAATCAAATTAATCCAATGTAGTGTTGGTCAAGATATGTAAAGCAGCTATTCGTTTTATTGTGTAGAATTAATATATATTTTTTCTACAATAAAACTAGTGTTCTCCGGGCCTGTGTGGGTTTTCTCCGGGTACTCCGGTTTCCTCTCACATTCCCAAAACTTGCATGGCAGGCTGATTGAACACTCTAAATTGTCCCTAGGTGTGGGTGTGAGCGTGGATGGTTGTTCGTCTCTGTGTGCCCTGTGATTGGCTGGCAACCAGTTCAGGGTGTCCCCCGCCTACTGCCCAAAGACGGCTGGGGTAGGCTCCAGCACCCCCCGCGACCCTAGTGAGGATAAGGGGATCTGAAAATGGAAGGAAGAATGGATGGACCTAGTATTGAGCCTTGTGGAACACCATTAGCATGCCATTGATGACTATAGATAGACTATAGATATATATATATATATA